TTCCCGTAAGTATGCATTTTATGGACTTACCCCAGAGAAGTTAATTATAGAGGTAATGTTCTCAATTAGGAGCAGTAATGTTTTATATATGGATCAGTGAAGAGCCAGAATATCTCTACCAGATTGTCCCTCATAGTTGAAGGTGTGGTCTACTTAACAGTTGGGATATATTGAGAGAGAGAGAGAGTGTGTAACTACGATTTCTAGCTCAAGGCTGAGATTTGGCTGTCGTATTAGGACTTTGGGGAATAGAAGTTTGCCTTCCACGATTACATGCAGTAAAAACACCCAGAGGTGGACCAATTCTTGCCTTATTCCACATTTAAAAGCTAAAGACAATTTTAGCATCCATTTCTTTTCCTTTATTTGCCTTTTGGTGCTTGTGAAAATAAATTCTTGGTTGATCATGTGTATGTTTTTGGTGTGAGTTTTCTCACAGAAGAGGGGATCCTGTTTGTCTTCTGTTATCAATGCAGAAAACTAGATTTATGTTAATAGCAAGTAAGGCCTTACTTCTGAAGTTTTTTCCTAAAAATAGTGCATGGCTTGCTTGAAACTTATTTAACAAAATAACTGGCACAAGACATTAAATTTGTGACCTATGATTTACAGGGAGATAAGATCAACAGACGGGTATGTATATGTTGGCACTGCTTGCTGCCACTGCAGGGCTTCTTTTCCTTGCTTTACGATGTGGGTGTTTTCAATTTAACTTTTTGTAATAACCGCCTTGAAGTGATTCCTACTCACATGTTCCTCTCTGTTTCTGTGGTATTCACATTCTCAGTACATTTTAGGGAGCCGGGACTTCTCACTGGTGCTTGTTGTGTACAGGAAGCTGCATGACAACTCCACGCTTCTAGGATTTCTTCTCATCTCACAATCCAATGAGATGAACATTATTACACTCAGTTTAATGATGTACTTATCGTCACCCTGAACTAAATTATTATTATTGTTTGCAGTTCGTTATTTAGAGGCAGTTAATAAATTCTGTATCTTTATTTGGGTGATATAATTACATCTTTAAAACATTAACTCTTGATTTTTTTTCTCCTCCCACTCTTGTTTTACATGAGCAGAAATGCCATTTTAAGCCTTACGGCAATCCTTCAAGGTACCTATACTTTGCTTAAGTTTGACTGATCAGCTTTCCAGTCCTTGACCTGGGTATGGTCCTGTAGAATACTCATTCCCAGCCAAGGAAGCTAACCCTCCCTACATCAATCCTTGTTCTGATTGATATTCAGCTATAAAAGACACAAATGAATGCATTAATACATCATCGAATGCAATTTTTTATGCAAACAATGTAAGTATCTGCATTTGAGCAGAAATCAGACTCTCTTGCAGTCCATGTACAATCAGAGCCCCGACTAGGAGAGGGAGAAGTAACAGAGTCAGAGAGATGAGCTTAGTGTGATGCTTCTCCTTTCACTGTCCAGTCACAGGCTGGGGCAGAGATAGAACCTGTAAATGAAAAATTAGGTCTCCTGCGTTGCCAGACAGGGTTATCAGAGGACTGGATGGACATTTATGTATATCATCTGTATATTTATCCATTTTCCTGGAATTCAGCTTTAATAACATCTACCCCATCCTTCATATTGGCCTATGCCAGCTGTCACTGATGTTATTAAATAGTTAAAGGGGAGTTTTCACTGCAACGGAAGTGTGGGTAGGGGGTAGAAGAGAATCTCTCATTGTGGTTTTGGAGACATTTGCCAATCAGCTAGTGGATGAAACCCTACTCCAGTCCTCCACCCCCTTTGGGTGAGGTTGTGTTTTACTTCTTACCGTGTTTCTCTGAAAATAAGACACTGTCTTATATTTTTGTTGCCGAAAAAAAACACACTAGGTCTTATTTTTGGGGTAGGTCTTATTTTTATTTTTTTATGTACAACCATCCACACTTATTTATGTAAAAAAATGTCTACATATATTCATGTACAAAAATATGGTGATCAGAGCAATCAGGGGTGCTGTACCTTCCCAAGAGCAATTTGGTAACCAATTGCTGGCCAGAATGAGCAAAGCGCACTTTCACTATCGATTCCTCACAGGCGGAGTGCATTTGGTATCACTCCGCCTGTGACAGGAGCTGGCACTATAGAGGAGGCATTGGCTTATGCGGCTCTGCTCCCTCCACTGCCACCTCGGCTCCTCTCACTGGCTTCGTTGGCACCGCTGATTCTCTCCTGCCTCTCTCACGGCTCTTCAAGTTCCCCCTTATGCCACCACCGGCCCTGGGAATGGTCACAACTGGGTCTTATTTTTTGGGTAGGTCTTATTTTCGGGGAAACAGGGTACTTGAAGCATATCAAATCCTATAAAGTCAAAACCTTTTTCTATTTTGGATAGAGTAGGGAATAGTTAAAATTCCTGTCATTTGTGGAGGTTCCCGTTTTCACTCTGTGACACCTCAAAGTGAGGGAGATTCTCTCTTAGTTGTCACAGGAGCAAGTGACCACATTGGGATATCTCTTCTCTATTCCTGTTCTGATGACAACTCACAATTGAGAATTTTCCCTCACTTTTTTATCCCGGTGACAGTAGGCCACTATTAAAAGCGGACAGGGGTTCTCCATTCAAACTAAAAAGCAGTTTTGGCTTTATATAGACTTTACTGTTCTGTCAAGCTTATTTGTTAAAGTGACACTAAACTCAGGAGGTAAATCTTAAAAATACATTCAAGTACCTCAACCATTAACAATACTGCACATTATTTGTGTATCACTCGGCTGTAGATCCTCCGATCATCTCTGAATTCATGCTGACACTGTCCTTCCTTCTGGAGGGTGGCTACTTCTGTTACTTTACAACACACACAGAGACCATGGGGAACAAAAGTAGCCATCCTCCAGAAGGAAGGACAGAGTCAGCACCAATTCAGAGATGATTTGAGGATCTGCAGCTGGGTGATACACAAATAAGGTGGGGTCCTAATTTAGGTGGCCGGCGACTGCCTAGAGCGCCGCCCACCGGAGCAGCAGTGACGCGACGTGGCAAGTTAAAAAAAAAACATAGCGCAAGTTTCGCCGCTTTGTATCGGGGCATTTGTGTTTGAATTTATGGCATTATTACAAGGGGCTCTAACAGAGGTACTGTTTACTATTTTCATTCCGGGTATATGTAATGTATGTTTCACTTTGCTCTGAAATCAGTGTACTATATGGGTAAATGAACACAGGCTGCATATCACACTAGGTGAGGTTATCTCATGGAGCCCGGTAACGCTACAGTTTAGTGCTGCTCAACAGAAATGACAGCAAAAAGAACGAAAAAGATCAGGGCAGTTTGTATATTACCGGTAGCGGCGAAACAAGCATGAGCTAATTGGCCCACAAGGCTTTTCAGTCTTGTGATCCAACATGTTTCATGTATTTAAAACAGCTCCAGTAGAAATATGAGTGTTTTATTTGTTGAACTATTTGTCATCCTGTTCAATAACTATATGTAGCTCACTTTCCCACTTGTATCAAGCTCATTGGACTATGAATGAGCATTACTGTAATGTTTCTTCTTCTCTGGCTGTCTAAACGACATCCTTCCGGCAGCCCCTAGTAGTGCCTGAAGCATATTAGCGTGCAACAAAAATGAGCTGCACTGACTCACGCTCATGTTTATGACACTGCCAGTCTCAGCCTGCATTTTGGTGAGAAAAGGGTCATGGGAATTTACTGTAAAGGTAGGTTTCATGTCATAATACAGAAAAAGAAATATTTTTGTATTAATTTGTGAATACAGCATTTCCTATGCTCCTCAGCTCCAAGTAATGGCCATACAGTGTTGCAAATCTCATTCATACAGAAAAGAGCTGTGCAAACAATTTATAAATCAGCCCCTTAGTCTCCATTCACTCATAGGCGTTTTTACGCACGCACAGATGCATTCCTGTTGGGCTCAATCACCCCTGCATGTTCGTACACACGTGCAAAAACACGCAACGTGGGAAAAAGTACATGTGTGGGGGTTTTTGGGGCAGATTTCAGCTCCAATACGCTGTAGCGTAGCTGCAGATGTGCGCAAAATCGTTCGTATTAAAAATTCTGCGTTTAAATGCACGAAATTCCAAACATTTGGTGTGAATGGAGACTTGAGTAATTAATCAATTGCTAACACGGTCCAATAATCTACTATTGCAATGGTTTTGTGAATGAAAACATAGGTGGATGTGTTTATGCCTGCAGTTCTAATAACCATTTAATGCTATTTTATACACATATCTGTGTGGGGTGTTTTGAGCTTTTTCTAAGTCTAATCATTTCAGAATGATTTCACCCCAGGTCCTATGTGAACAAAATGATAGCTGGTACCTAAACTTTGTCATTTTGAATTATGTAACATATGTTTCTTGACTTTCTCCCATTTTTCTGCAGGGTAGTAAATTACAGACCAGAGTTGGGCTGTTAATGTTGCTGTGCACTTGGTTATCCGACTGTCCCATCGCTGTTACACATTTCCTTCACAATGCAGCTAATGTGCCTTTTGTATCCTTTGTGCTCTGTTTTATAAACTTTCGTTATTAGGAGTATAATTTGAAGCAGAGGTGGGGCAATACAGGCCCTCCAGCTGTGCTTTAAAGGAGAACTATGAGGTGAGTGCTCTTCACTCACCTCATAGTTCTAGCCGACCTGTGACAATGAGACTGTCACAGGTCGGCTCAGTAGATCGGGAGGTGAGCGAACACATAGCGGCGTTCGCTCACCTCTCGATCCTGTCACAGTTCTCTGCCGCGACAGGGGAGGGGCTGGATTCCCCGCTCCGATCCGCCAGCGCTGACTGACGGAACGGATGGGGGCGGGTACAGCTGGCTCTGCCTCTAGATAGGCAGAGCCAGCTGTCACTCACTCAGCTGGGCGAATCCAGACATAATTGTCGGGATCCGCTTCAGCTGCCCTGCCTCAGTATACCGCGAGCAGTAGCTCGCGGTATACTGTGGCGTCTCAGTATACCGCGAGCTACAGCTATACTTAGCTTAGGGTGACAGGAGGACGCTAGTTTGTGTCCTCCCGTTACCCTAAGGAGAACTATGGGGAAAAGCCTTAACCCCATAATTCTCCTTTTAACTACAAATCTCAACATACCTCTGACTCTGGGGGTCATGCCTGTAACTGTCAGTCTTGCAATGCCTCATGGGAGTTTGAAACAGCTTGAAGGCTAGAGTTGCCTACCCCTAATTTTAAAGGCATTTCCTTTTTTCTTTAGACTTTTTGCTATTGTTAGCA